AAGCTCCACCCAACCTATATATATATATATTATCGGCATCAGTAAAATTTTGTTCTACGTACTCACTCGTCCCGTGCTCCATTCTCATCTATAGCTCCCTACCCTCCTTGCAAGGTTCGAAAAATCGGACCGTTCATCGAACCGGAAAATTTACCGATTCACGATTCACTGGTTCAACCATCAATTGAACCGTTATTGAACCGTGACGTCATAATTATATAATATTTATATTTATACTTATATAAATACAAAGAAAAATTTTAAGGTCAATATTATTAATTATTTATAATAATATCAATTAATATTTAAGATTTAATTATTATAGTGTATGCAAAATAAAAATAACAAACTATTAATCTATCATCCAAAATAAAGATGAAGAATTTAAATTATAATTGTTTATTTTTATAACTATTCTAAAAGAAAAAAATAGTTCATATGTTATAATTTCTTTCACGTGGTTACAAATTGACCAAAAAAAATAATATCAAATAATTATAAAAATAAAAATAACATATAAAATTTAAAATAATTAAATTAGTTATATCCATTCTTTGAAATGTAGTATAAGGACTCAAATTTACATCTTATTTATTTTTTTATGAAATATTAATTATTGAATTAAATTTAATATAAATAATTTTAATTTTATATTTTGTATTACACTTTTAATTTTAAAAATTTTTATGAAATAAGTGAATTATTCATTATGTGATGAAATTAGAATAAGTTAATTTAAAACAAATTGTCAATATATATTTTAACAAATAATAGGATTACACCAAAGTAGTAGTGGTCTAGTGGTAGAATAGTAAGTATTCTATGCAATAGACTCAGGTTCAATTCATTTCTCACGCATTACTTTAACAATTTTATCAAAAATAATTGAACCGGCCGGTTTGCATTGAACGGGACCGGTTCGAACGGTTCGCAAGAAGGAGGTCGGTTTTCTGCAAAAACCGGACCGGTTATATAACCGGTCGACGGTCCAACCGGTCCGACCGGCCGGTCCGGTCCGGTTTTTCAATCCATGCCTCCTTGTATGTTTTTTTTGTTTTCCAACGTAAAAGAATGTCAACGGACGACGAGTAAATTGAGAAACGTGTTTGATCAATTAATAGATCTAATACAATCGAAATTTTTATAATTGATTCGGCAATAAGATATTTATGAAAATTTAAATACAAATAATAGAATATCTACGGCATATTCAAATAGTAAAATACTTAACTTAAGAATTAAAAACTTAATTCATTAACTTTCTTATTTATTTCTTCCTCAGTTTAAATTATTCAATATATAAAAATAATATATATATATATATATGAATTGTCAAATACAAAATAAATAATATAATTATTTTTAATAAACATGTGTTTTATATTCACGTAAAATGTTAAATTTTTCGTTCTATAATTCATTAATTTTTGGTAAATATACACTATTCTAATTTACATAAAATTCAACTTTATTTTTGTTAAATATATGATATTATATATGTATTATAAGTTTTGACTTATTTTTGAAAAATATATCGTTACTATAAATGTATTTTAAATTTTATACCATACTACATTTATTTTTACTTTTGATAAAATATATATAGAATATACACTTATTTTAAGAATAAAAATACAAATACCCCATTTTAAAAAAAATAAAAAATTATTATTGAATTTTTATTTTTTTGTTATTATTAATGTAATAATACTATATTGTATATAATTATAGAATAAAATTTCTACAGAAAGTAGGCAACGTGCTTGGGTTGGACTATCAAATACAGGTCTGGGCCTTACCGGGAAATGAGGAGTGAGGGGGTATAATTAAACTTCCACGTCGCAGATTTTTTTTAAAAAAATGTAAATCATGTTGTAGTATTATGTATTTATTAATTTTCACATATATTTTATTTAAATTTTACAGTGTCTAAATTCAATTTTCTTAAATTAATTTTTCCAATTTAGTTTTTAAACTCAATTTTTTAAAATTTATTATTAAATGAGACCATATTAAGAAATTTTTTTGTAATATTAATTTGGTCACATTAAATCACATACAAACGTATATAATTATTTTTAAAAATTACTCCATTTAACTTTTACTATATTTTATGATTTAACCATTTGACATAAAAATAATTTTGTTATTTTTATGTCATTTTTCAATACAATAATAAAATTTCAGGATTTCTTCGGCATTCTAAAAATTATTTGTCAAATTTTTCCTTTCAAGAAATTATAATAATTATCGAAGAAAAATATGTTGTACATAAAAAATTCATATTCAAAAAATAAAAAGTGTTCTCATGTTTATTTCATATTATTTTGAAAAAAAAGCAAATTTTACTATTACTTTTTTTTTCTGTCAAATCTTAAACAAAATTGTTGTGAGTTAATACTAAAATTAAAACTATTTTTTGGATTAAAATTAGGCTAATAAATTTTTTTATGAAAAATTATTTTAATAATAAAATATAATTTAAAAAATAATAATAAATTGGGCATTGCGTAAGCCACTAATAAAATATAACTGGACCCTTCACTGGCGTGCCCTGGTGTCATATTACAGCCATGCAGCAATGTTGTTGTTCCAACTCCATTTAAATTAATCATATTACCCTTGTAATTTTATAAGTTTTTCTCCTGACATGCACGTTATTTTAAAATTATTGATGCTTGCATCCACTGGACAACCTTATTTTAAATAAATATTAGTATAATTAATCTAAATAATAAAAATATTTATAAAATTTAATTAAAAATTAAAAATTAAAATTTTAATATTATTATCCCTCCACTCAAAAAAATCACCTATAAAAATCGAATTTCTCACAATAATTTTTAGTTAAATTGTTGTAGTGATAATTTACCAAATGAAAGAGGAGATGTAATTTTCCTGAAAATGATTTTTGATAAAAAATTTTAGAAGAAAAAGAAAGGAAAAGATTGTGAGAAAGCGAAGAGATGCTTCCGTCGATGAACGGAGTTACGAGAGTGCCCCTCAAGTGGACACGTTGGTCCGTGCCTGTCCGTTGCGTTGTTGTAGCGCAGTGCTCGAACTCCGCAGCACAATTTCAGACCCTCCACCCCCCCTCGAAACGTGGCGATTTTCTCTTTCTATAACCTTCCAGGAAAGGATCTCGTATTGCTAGATCTTTCTTCCCACACAGACACACAGTAGCTACTTCTGGAATTTCCGCCGATCCGGATCAGGAACAGCGGCGGCGGTTGGCCGGAGAGCGTTCCCTGGAGTCGGCGGGGCCGTTGATGGCGGAAGTAAAGAACGGTCACAGAAGCTCCTCGTCGGGTTCCGGCGAAGTTACGGTCAAATTCGAAGGTGAAATCACCTGCGGTGGTGGTGGAAGTGGCGGTATTGGTCGCAAATTGGCTGGCCAAGAGACCGCCGCCGGGGGTTCGCTGTCCAATGGCGGCAGTAACTCTTCAGGTCCGTGATAATGAACTAAGTTACGTTTCCGGAATGTAAATTTGTTGAAAGGGATAGAAAATGTCGAAGATAATAGGATGCCAGTAACCAGAATTCTGCTTTTCGAGTTACAGAATTTTATCTGTCAAGTCCTTTTTTCAAAATTGTATTAAATGGAAGAAAATGGTACTTAATTCATCTTTTGGAACTGCTGTTTGGCCTAGTTGATTCTGAAGAATTGTGAACCAGAATATCATGATTGTCAATTTTCAATTTCGTTACCTTTTCCCTTCTTAATTTTTTTTTGGAAGAGAGACAGTGGAAGACTGCGGAGTTTTTCTTTTATTGTTTTTCATTTTCTTCTTCAAGAACCCTAGGATTCTTTTATATGTTTGGACACTTCATACTTAACTGAGGGTGTGTATTTTGCTTCTTCGGGTCCCGTGTTACTTTGGAACGCAAATTTGGCGGAGGAATGATGTAAGACCGCCTACTTGAGACTACTTATTTCAGAAGCATTGTTGGATATTTTTGTACTATGGACACTCGTTTAAAGTTTGGGAATGCATTGTACTTCTGCATGGTTTTTTAAGTGCTATGCTTTTGAATGCCAAATGTTAATATGGCCAATTAAACCTTCATCTCTCTCTCTCTCTCTCTCTCTCATGTTTGACGCAGCAGGGACCGTTGGCAGTGATACTCCAAGAGTAAATACTCTGCCGGTGGAGATATCAACTTCTGACACATTGAAGCCACCATCGAGTGTGCTTAATTTGGAAAGGCCAAAAACTGACCGACAAAAAAATATCAACTTATTTGCAGAGGAGGCAGCACAAATTTTCGATGACAAGGTTCCTGTTCAGCAGAAGGTATAATTCATTGGAATGCCCACGTTTTTTTTTTTTTTTTTTTGTGTTGCGTGCGACAGCGCATTAAACATGGGACTAGAGGTGAAAATGGTCCTTTCTGCTTTTCTGAATAAATGACACAAATAACTTCATTAACGGTTTGCATGTATACCAACACCCATCAATATAAGATCTGTATATGTTGATTAGGCTGCAGAAAATATGAAAGAACTACTTGTTCTTTTGTCACAATTATACAAAGGAGGTCTTTGGACCCTTTGTGATGGTTAATTGGATAAAAAATGGCAACACCCATCAATATAAGATCTGTATATGTTGGTTAGGTTGCAGAAAATATGAAAGAACTACTTGTTCTTTTGTCACAATTATACAAAGGGGGTCTTTGGACCCTTTGTGATGGCTAATTGGATAGAGAACTGGGTTTAGTCACTGCTCAAACAGGAGACTGGACCATTCCTCTCCAGATTTCTGTTAACCTAGAGTTTTAGGAGATTGCTGGATCATCATCCTGTTAGAGGTGCTAAAGACTAGCAGGAGGAGAGGGGCATAGGTTATAATTTTGGCTAAATGAGTGATTGCTATACTTCTGTGTCCATATTTTATCAAGTACAGAGCTGACTATATTAAATTATCAATTAGCCAATGATATTAAGTAGGTTTCATTTCAAGTCTTCAACTGTTCAACTAGATGTCATTTGCAAATTCATGGGTAAAGGTGGGATGGGAAAACAGCATCAAACTAGACAGCTGGCAGTTTTTTGAGACTACAGAGTTATATATAAGATTGAATGGTGAACCTTTTTAGCCTATATAATTGCATGGGTGGTTTGGATTTCATGCAAGATTCTGGTATAAAGGAGCAATTTTATAAGCTAAACGCCCAAGTTTTAAATATCCTACAGTATTCATCTCTATTAACATTATGTTGTAAAGGGACAAATATGAATCTTTTTGTTATATTTGGATACTGTTCCAGAACTCATGCTTAACAATATGACGGAACCTTATCTGGTGTCATTTTAGCCATGAAGATTCAATCCTGTTTCTCTCTCATTAGTGGTCTTTTTGGGGGCATGTCTTTCTTTACTATATATCTTCATGTGCATAAATAAGATGTGTGTAATATTTGAAAATTTGTGGAATTGCTTTTATTTTTTAATTTTTCAGTTGAGTTATTGCATTTTCTATTCATATCTGTGTAGAATATCTAGAAATGATTGGGAGACAGGCAATTTTCTGATTATTGGATTTCTTTCAGCAAAAGGATTTTTTATCTAGTTACAACTAATACACACTTTGACTACTCTAAGTAACATATTCTCACACTTAGTTTTAGAACTCTGCTTCCTCAGTGTGTTTAATGCTGATATTTTAGTCCTATATCAGTGTTCAGTAAAATTAACTTGTTGTTTATTTAATTATTTTTTATGATACTTGAAGCAAGTTCTATTAAATTAATCTTTACTTTTATCTCATTGAATCATCTTAATGAATAATTTTTCGTTTGATCCTGTAAATTACTCCTATGCTTAAACTGAAGGGATTGTTTTGCATTTTCTAAAAACTACAGCTGAAATTGTTGAAAAGAATAGCTACTGTGAAAGATGACGGGACTGTAGAATTAGAAGTACCTGGAGACATAGAAACCCAGGTCATTGGTGTTGGATCTAGTCCTGTATATAATGAAGCTACTGATGAGCCTTTGACGCAGCAGACTTTCAGTGTATGCCACCAATGCAAATAGCAATTCTGATTGTTGGAACACGGGGTGATGTCCAGCCATTTATTGCTATTGGAAAACGTTTGCAGGTTAGAAGTCTTTCTTTATTTGTGTAAGTTTTTCATTTGTTTTGGCCTGGGTAGTAGGTTATTTGTGAGCCTATCTTTTTTTTTTTTCTGTCTTTTGTTTTCATGGCTGTTTGGGGATGGTAGTGCTGGAAAACTGATAAATAGTAGCTTTCCTGCTGCAAAATAAAGTAAAACTTTCTTTAAGCTCAGTGCAGAAGTTTATGAAAACAATTTATTCATCTTATCAGTCATGGAATATACATAAAGGCATAACTAATTCTAAAATCTAAGCATCCTGTAGGCTAACATATGACACCGTTCATAGACTCACTCAAGTGGTAGAAACATGGAATGTTATGCATATATATGCTAAAATATGATAATTACTTATCACAACACCATGAAGATGGCATACTCGGCTAGCAACTGATTTATTCCAATTTGGCTATGCACATCTTTTTGAACTGGTTCATATGCTCTGCATTTATCTTTATCACAATCTCACACATTCTTGTCAATTATAGATTTTTTTTATGCTAGCTTCAATTATAATTTTGATTTGTCATTAGCTTCTATTTTACAAAGTTCTCTTTATAAGAAAAGGTTAAATTAATGTGTTTTTCATCTGCTGAATAAACTTGTTTCTTATGTTCTTATACTTAATCACCTTTTATGCTGGTCTACTGGCAAGATAAATTGTTGAAATTTCTTCAGTTTTGGTATGCTGCAGTAACTGAATCTCAAAGTTAATATTGCATCTATTTATTCATGTGGATAAACATCCCCTGAACTTCTGATCCCTGTGCATATGTCCATTTTGATATTTTAGTTAATATTGATTCTATTTACTCATGTCTATATATTACACCCTGAATTTCTGATCCCTGTACATGTCCTTTATGATATTTGATCTGTCAGTGCAGTGGCTAATTTCCCACATTGAGTCCTGAATAACTTTAACTGAACTGTATCATTTAACAATGGAGATGACTGCTTTATTTACTAGCTAGTTGTGTGCTCTCATGAAGCATCTACTTTTCTTCTTTGTTAGATATTCTCTTGATGGAATCTCGGGTTTGTTTGTCTTGTAATTTTTTGAGCTAATGTCTCAAGCCATATGCTCAAGAATGCACTTGACTGATATGTGTAACGCCTGGTTCCAGAACCAGATTTGCGATTTCATTTCTTTGTACTTGCTAACATATGCTTCTGGGAGTTGTCCTTGTATGGTTTTTCAGTTTATTTACTAAATATAAAACTAAGAAAATTAGAACTCTTCAATTCTGTGAAATTCTCAAGCCTTTGTGAATTTAGATTACTTGATGAGGATGCTTCAACGCAGGATCATGGCCATCGTGTCAGATTGGCTACTCATTCTAATTTCAAGGAATTTGTCTTAACTGCTGGGTTGGAGTTCTATCCTCTAGGTGGTGATCCCAAAATTCTTGCCGAATGTATGTACAGCCTAACTTGATCTCATATATCAGATAACTCAATGATTATTTATCAGCTGAAGGTTGAATTTTCTGTTGTCAATTTCATAACTGTGAATGAAGGTCACTGGTTGCAAATGGGAATGAATAAAGAAAGCTTATTCATGTGACTATCATGCTTGGTTGTTTGGTAAACTAAACTGACAGGAAAACTAAATAAATTAGACCCTAAATTGACAGGAAAACTAAACTTTGTTGTTTGGTAAAAAGGGGTAATTAAGCAGATTAATTTCTTTTGGAAAAGATTTTGATGAACAACTTTCAAAAAAGTATATAAATAACAGTTTATATTAATTGGGTTTTTTACTCTTGAAAGAAGCATAAGCAAAAATGAATCAGCAGGATTAACATCTAAAGTAATTAACATTAGGAAATTGAAATTACATAACAAAATATAGGTGATCCACCAGGCCATCTACACCTGTATTTTAATGACATGATTCACAAGGGTGTCTAGATTTAAATATTTTTTCATGAAATTGAAACTCTTTCTCTAATTTTCTTCGTAAAATGTTTCTTTTTCTAGCTCATCCAAATACACCACAAGTCCACAAGTCATGTACTAAGCCACCCCAAATGTTTTTGCATTGACCTTCAGTCCGAAGATATTTATGAAAGGGGACTTCATTGGAGAAATTAAAACTTAAAGGATCAAATTGATAATCCTCAAATAGAGGGGAACCATCAGTGTAATTTATCTTTTTGTGTGCATAACAGCACACTTTGCCAGGTGCTCTCTATGGATAGTAAACTTCACTGTGCTTTTTGCTCCAAAAAATAAAATAAAATAAAAGGAGGTGGAGAAATATAAAGAAGAAGCAAGATTGAATGGCATAAAATGTAAAAGGAGGTGCTTTCTTTTACAGTAAATATATAATTATGCTAGTAATGTATGTCCCTTCTCATTGACACCAAAATATTTCCTTTGCTTTCCATTGATAGTTGGTGTGCATTCCCATCATTTTTGAAGTATATATGAAGAGCCTCCTGATTTATGTTGATTTCTAGATATGCTCTGAGGAGTTGTCTAATTTGTTATTAAATATGATATCTATTATTTCACAATTTATCGTACACATGCTTAAAAGTAGGAAATCATCATGTCCCCTGGCAAACCTACTTATCCACAGCATGTACCCACGGCCTCCCTCACCTAACGTGGGCTTATGCTGTGGAAGGTACATATTGTTGATGGATGTTTTAATTATCTTCCAATATAGACATTCTTTATTTGTTACCTTTGGCATATTTTTCTTTCTTTTGTTGGTTGTAAAATATTGCTTCTCTTTTTATTCATTCTTATTACATCTGAGCATTTGATAACAATTTCCAGCAACGAAAGCACAGTGTATAAATAGTTGATGCCAGATTTTGGTGTGGTCTTTCCCTACAAGTTCCAATTTAGTTTCATTATGAAGTCAATTTATAAGTTTCATTAATAGTTTAAAAACCTTTTGATGCAGATATGGTGAAAAATAAAGGATTCTTGCCATCAGGGCCTTCCGAGATACCTATACAACGAAATCAAATAAAGGATATAATATACTCCTTATATCCAGCATGTAAAGAGCCTGACCTTGATTCAGGAATTCCTTTCAGAGCTGATGCAATTATTGCCAATCCTCCAGCTTATGGTTAGATTCAACCAGTTGTACTTACCTTATCATCCTTTTTGATTCATTTTTTGCTTTTTTGGATCATGCAATTTAGAGTGTTGATATTGTCTTATTGTGATCTTCTCCTGTCATATAGTTCTATGTTGCATCTTTTGAACTTCTAATGTGTTTCCCTAATATGGTTCTATGCTGTGGAATTGACAAGCATAATGGTATGGTGCCATGTGAATTGGAAACAAAATTGTGAATTCTTTAAAGTAGTTGTGAACGGCACAGAGCTTGTTGATGATCAAGTCTTCAGTTTGCCACAACTTCAATGTTTGTAAAAATTTTTAATCAACATTTTGGTACCAAGAAGCCTAACAAAATATAAATGTTTGTTAATCAAATAATGCTCTTTCATGACCATGGCACAAATTTTTTTTTCACAATTTATTGCAAGTGTTATTATTATTTTGTGCAATGTAGCCAATACGTGAGTTTTATATCTGTGTTATTTTCAATTAGATAGGGAATATGAAACCTTTCGTGGACAAAAAATTTGATATCTATTACCTATTTATTGTTGCAGGTCCCCTTTAGCTGATTAGTTCTCTCCATACATTTTAACCGTTTTGACCTATTTTCATGCATTTTGGAATGCTTTCTTTATCAATGTGGACATTTGGAGCTTTGTCATCAAGCAGAGTTCAGTTTTGGCCATCTAGGAAGTGAAACAGTGAACATGTTATGGGAATTAAAGGAACTTTGTTTATTGATGGCATTTATGGCTTATAAAACTGGTATATAGCATGCAACCCCATTCATTGAAAACTCTAAAGCCTCTTGTTAGTTTATCCATGGCAAACAAGACTTCAGTGTTGTTGTCCATGTGGCTTTATTTTAAGGAGTTCCTTGGTGGCATGCCCACTGGCTTTTCTTTGCAGTCTGCCTATTTCAGTTTATTACTTTTCATTTACCAGGTTAAACAATAGCATTTTTATCATTTTAGTTGTAGGCTCATCACTGATGTTCATAGTTTCTCAGTCATTTTTGTTGTTTCCATGGAAGCGTTAATGTGGGTTGCACCATTGTATTTCATGTAATTAAGATGTGCACAATCACCAAAGTGGTCGTGTATCAGCTGGCTTACTGAACTCAGCATTGCAACTTGACATGGTGATCTAAATGGTTCTGCAGATGCTTGTCAGTCATCCTCCTGCTTCAGAGCACCCTGGCTCAGTTTTGGGGCTATTATTTACATTAGTGTTGTCTGTTGTTAGGACTGCAGACATTGAAAAGCATCTTCCTTTTCGTTGAGATGGCAAATGGTGAGTGAACATGGTTGGACAACTGAGAGGAATCCTGAAATTAAGTATTTGTTTTGAAAGAAGGTGGCTAAATTGACAACAGGGTGTGAAGAATAAAGTTTGTGAAGAATTTTTAACTCCATGTTCATCAAACCCACAATGGGTGAATATATACACTCTATGTATACATGAAAAGAAAACAAATCAAATCTCTTAAATCTTTAATCAAAGTTATCTACACAATCTCTAAATATAGAGGGTATATATTTACACAATCTCAGTAAAACCTCGACACTCCCCCTCAAGCTGGAGCATATATATCATATGCACTAAGTTTGCCATAAATATAGTAATTTCTTGGACCTCAAAGATATTTGGTGAAGATATTGGCTAATTGATCACTTGAGTTGACAAACTTTGTAATGACTTCCTTAGATAGAACTTTTTCTCTAACAAAATAATAATCAATTTCTATGTGCTTAGTCCTCTTGTGAAAAATAAGATTTGAGACTATGTGTAAGGTAGTTTGATTATCAAAATATAGCCTCATTTGTTCAATACTTTCAAACTTCAACTCTTGAAGCAATTGTTTTACCCATATTAATTCACAAGTAGCTGTTGCCATAAATCGATACTCCACTCCTACACTAGACTGTGCAACAACATTTTACTTTTTATTTTTTCAGGATACAAGGTACCATCAACAAATATACAATATCTTGAAGTAGACCACCTATCAATAGGAGAAGCAGCCCAGTTTTCATCAAAGTACCTCACAATATGAGTATTTCCTTTATCTTCATATAACAACCCAATCCTGGAGAATTCTTGATGTATTTTAAGATTCGAATAACTGCATTCCAATGATCAATTTCTGGTGATTGTAAAAATTGACTTACTACACTCACTGTAAAAGAAATATCAGGTTTAATGATAGTGAGGTGATTTAGTTTATCAACTAGTCTTCGATATCTGTCAGGATTTGAATAAGGCTCTTCTTAATCTAGTAATAATTTGACGTGGATCCATAGGACTGTGAACAAGTTTACAATCTAGCATACGAGTCTCCTCTAATATATCTAAAGTACACTTTTGTTGTGAAATAGCAATGCCATTCCAAAGGCTTGGACAACACTACTGAATTTTCCAAACCAAGCTTGTGGAGATTATTTCAGCCTATATAAAGATCTTCATAATATATAGACTAATCTTGATTCCCTCTGGGCAACAAACCTAGGTGGTTGCTCCATATATATCTCTTATTCAAGATCTCCGTAAAGAAAGGCATTTTTAATGTCCAGCTGGTATAAGGGCTAATGACTAATAGTTGCCATAGGAAGAAATATTCAAATAGAAGCAATTTTAGCCACTAAAGAAAATGAATCATGATAATCCATGCCATAGGTCTAAGTATATCCTTTAGCAACTAGAGGGCTTTAAGAAGATCAACTTTACCATTTGGGCTAACTTTAACAGTGTACACCCATTGGTAGCTAATAACAATTCTTCCTAGAGAAAGAGGAACTAAATCTCATGTGCCACTATGCTCAAGAGCAAGCATCTCATCAATCATAGCTTGTCTCTATCCTATATGTGAAGAAGCCTTACTAGTATTTTTAGGAATAGAAATAGAAGATAAGGAAGACACAAAAGCATAATAAATATGTCAGAGATGAATGATAAAAACTCAAGATAAATAGGATGAGGATTTCTAATAGACCGAGTACCTTTTCAAAGAACAATAGGAAGATCGTCAAGAGACCCAGATAGGTCCATGGTAGGTGAAGGCATTGGAGTAGGCAATGATTCACTAGGATGATCTATTGTCTCAACAGTAGGAATGGTTACCGTGATTTCCATTCCGATGTAGTTGTGGGAGATTTTGGAAATGGTTCCTACGAGGGAGATAGAGAGAGAGATGGTCCAAAATAGAGAAGAGGTAGAACCTCAGATACAACATTAGGTTCAATTAAAGAGGTGAAATATGGAGTTTCTTCAAAAAAGGTAACATCAACAAATGTATACCAACAATGAGTGATAGAGAATAACAACGATACCCTTTTTGTAGTCTAAGATAGCCAAGAAAAACACATTTGATAGAACAAGCAGATAACTTATCTTGTCCAAGAAAAAGATCATGGACTAAACAAGTGCATCCAAACACTCGAGGAGAAACTTGATACAATGGGTTTTGGGATATCAAAACAAATGAGGAACTTGGTTATTAAGGACAGATGATGGCATACAATTGATCAAATAGTAGGCAGTTAAAATAATATCACCCTGGCAGTGTAAAGGCATGTTTGCATGTAACAATAAAGTTCGAGTAGTTTCAATTAGGTGATGGTTTTTCCTTTTTGTTACTCCATTTTGTTGTGGTGTGTGAGGACATGTAGACTGATGTAAGATGCCATGAAAGGACATAAGTGTGGAAAAGGCAATTGAAAAATATTCTTTTGCATTGTTATTATGAAGTATCTTAATCGTCCTTCCAAATTGATTTTGAATTTCAGCACAAAAGGATGTGTATATAAACTAACTCAAAACGATCTTTTATTAAAAATAACCAAGTACAACGAAAAAAAATATCAATAAAATGAACAAAATACCTAAAACATGAAGAGGTAGAAAATCTAATAGGACTCCAACTATCAAAATGAATAATAGAAGAGGGAGACTCACTTTGATTTTGGACTTGACTTGGAAAGGAAGCACAGACATGTTTTCCAAGTTGACATGACTCACAATCCAAAGATTCTAGTTTTGCAAGGCTTGGAATCATCTTCTTAAGTCTGGACAAACTGGGATGTTTTAAATGCTTGTGAAGAAGATTGGGAGATTCAGTAGGAGCACAAACCACACATGGAGATGAGTTGAGATAGTAAAGCCCATGTGACTCATGAGCAACTTCAATAGTCTGTCTCATACCACAGTCCTATATAACAAATGAATTAGAATCAAAGATTACTTAACAATTAAGAGAATGAGTAAGTTGACTAATAAAAATCGAATTGAAAGGACATCCTAGCACAAAGAAGACTGACTTTGAAGACATAGATGTAGTGGGTGAGACACGATCAATACCTTTAGCAGTGACTTTAGAGCCATCTGCCAAGGAAACAAATTGACGAAAATCAAGTGTAGAAAAAGAAGTGAAAAGAGAACGATTACTAGCTACATGATCAGAGGCACCAGAATCAAGTATCCAAGGACTTGGACTAGTGTGAGAGATACAAATTATGGACTTACCCCTATGAGCAATAGTAATGGTGGAAGGTTGAGTTTGTTTGGCTGCTTTCAATTGGAGGTATTCTTTAAATTCAGTTTTTGACATTGAAATTACCTGTTTCCTTGACAACGTCTCAGTTCTTTTCTCCTCTTCTTGGCTAGTTTCAGATTGAGTAACATTGATATATTTTTCTCTGGAAATCCATAAAGAGAATAACAAGTATCTTGAGTATGGCCCATTCTTTGCAATAGGAACACTGAGGACAATCTCCATGATTTCCTCGTCCACCACGAGACCCTGTAGTGGTTACCATGGCAGATGATTCAGTTGTGTTTGTGTGTACCCAAAGGTAGTCTTAGGTGAAGCAAATCTTAGGAGACGAGATCAAGTTTTCTATTTTGGGTACTTCTTGAGCAGTCAGAATATGGTCACAAACATGCTCAAAGTCAAGATGCATTGCAGCATGCAAAATGAGAACTATGTACAGATTATCCAGTTTTGTTAACAATTCTTGATGATCCTTAGCCTGCAAAAACATTTTCAATTCCTCCATTGCGACTCGTGCTCGAGTAACAAAGAAGTCGTGTCATGATCTAATTGTTTAAGAGAGGCTGATTTCTGAGCAGAGTCATATAAATGCTAGATATCATTAGCAAACAAACTGTGAGGTTTATTCCAAAAGGTGTAACGTGGTTTAGAGGTTCTGAAATTGACCAGGATGGCTGGCTCCATAGATTGTCATAGCAAAGTGCATTGCTGATAATCAAACTCTTCCGTTGACTTCAATGCTCTGTAGGAATATTGGTTACTGCTTTCTCAAGATGATCCAGAAGTCCCTATCCTAGAAACTGAAGTTCAACGGAAGTTGACCAAGCTAAATAAATTTTCTTATTTAATTTTTCTGATGTAATTGTGGGTGTTCCAGAAAATTTTTATGTAACAGAAACTTTTCTCATTTAATTTTTATGTAACAGAAACATTTATAGATGAACTTTTAGCATCAGTGGACCCAACCTCTAGTTGAGTGGAGTCAGATGTTTGAACTATTTTTGAGTCCATTTTTGTCTTTGACTAAGAGAGCAAAGATGAAGTAAAGACTAACCAAAAATCAAAGGTTTGACCAAGTAGTTGTTGCTGTTTGACCAGAAGCGGACTAACTAGTCAGTAGACAGGGATGAAGCAGACCAACCTTTGCTCTTCGTCCTTCGTCATTCATCCATTGTCAAGCAGAGAAGAGACAGGTGAGACTTTAGACAGTCTTGGCAGCAGAGAACCAGGTGACTGTGGTGAGGCCTGCGACAATCAGTAAGGGGATAGGCAAGGCTCTCGATGATTGGTGAAGAAGCTAGCGAGGCTCTTGGTGAAATAAGATAAATGTAGTGGCTAGGGTTTGTTTAAAAATGGCTAGGGTTTTGGCAAGGTATTCTCTGGAGCCTGCTCTAATACCATGTCAAGAATAAAGTTTGTGAACAATTTTTCACTCCATGTTAATCAAACCCTCAATGGGTGAACATATACAGCTCTCTATGTACATAAAAGGAAACAAATCATATCCTTAATCAAATCTCTTAAATCCCTAATCTAATCTCTTAATTATCTACACAATCTCTAAATATAGAGGGTATAAATTTACACAATCCAAATGCAATCTCAACAAAGGGATACAAAGAAACTAGGGGATTCCATATTTAAGAAGACTATATTGAAGTGGCTTACAGCCTTTACCTCATAGGCTACCGTGTCATTCATCTAGGCTAATGAAAGCTGTCTCTGTCTCAAATTTCCAATGTTTGACAATTGTGTTGCTCATTTTTTTGTTGATACTTGGTGCAACGGTAATGCTTTGACTTTGAGGTTAACAGGTTGTACTCATTAGACGTTTTGCTTATCTGAATTGTCCAAGCAACATAAGGAAATGAAACACATTCACATCAAGTTCATGATTCGAAAATGTAGGAAAACAATTTCTGTCTGCTAAAGCCATTGGTTTGTTTAACATGCAAGGCATTTATGTTCTTCTAACTTTGACTTCTGTTTTCCATTCAGCCTTGACCCAACCCAAGCAAACCATGTTAATCTCTTCTTTTCAGTTTGGGAATACGCAAACAGGAAAGCTTAATTTCCATGATACCCAGGCCATCAACAATCATTTTCATATCTTTTATCCATTTTCCTCTAATTGTTGACTCTATAATTTGTAGAACCTTTTGGTTCAGGAATCCACTATGCAAATTACCTCTCAGTTATCTTCTATATTTTTCTATGTGATTGTATTTCTAACTTTGATGTAAATAATTTTGAAAACTTTCAACTCTAAAAGAAAATATATTGTTCTTTTCTAAAGATCCACACTGTTACTTGGACAACATGTTTGCAGGACATACACATGTAGCAGAGGCTTTGAAAGTCCCACTTCATATATTTTTACAATGCCTTGGACGTAAGTTTTTTTGGTAGTACGTTCTTCAAAATATGATCCTTTGTCCCATTCTGTCATATTATTTGCTTCTTGTAACAAGGTTAGATGAGGGTTTCATAACTGCAAAGCAAAAAAATTGTGATTTGACTGTATCTTGCCAGGCCAACCAGTGAATTTCCACATCCTTTGTCTCGTGTTAAGCAACCAGCTGGATACAGGGTGAGCCATGAAGTTCACAGTTTTTGTTCCTTGTTTATCTCTCTCTCTCTCTCTCTCTCTCTCTCATATGTTGTTTGACAGTCCCTTTTGTTCTTTTAACTCTACTGTTCATGAATCTGCAGCTGTCATATCAGATTGTTGACTCCATGATTTGGCTTGGAATACGGGATATGATAAATGATCTTAGGAAGAAGAAGTTGAAGTTAAGGCCGGTTACCTATTTAAGTGGTTCACAAGGCTCAGAAGCAGATGTGCCACATGCATACATTTGGAGCCCTCACCTTGTTCCCAAGCCAAAAGGTGGTTGCTTATTAGTACTCTGTTTTTGTTTCTAAATATTTTTTTAATTTGTTAACATACTTTAATGCTTTAGATTTGTTGTGTACTGAAAGACCATTTATTCCTGTCACTTATTTTGCTGAACCAATCATACAATCTTATAGTTTAGTTACCTTTGTCATCTAACCATAATTAGAGACCTAATAGAAGATATCTTACAGCTGTGCCTTTGGTTACAGACCATGTGGGTGGGGAACTCTTCACTTCATAGGAATAAGCAAAATAATAATAACAATAATCATGGTTATTCAGGAATCAATATACCCAGTCACAAAATAATTCTTCCTCTCCTTGTGTCTAGACCCATGTGAGTGGTGAACATTGGCCTATGATGTGGAAGAGGTGTTAATGGTGAATGATTTAACAAATAACAATTTTTTGTAACTGATACTAATATTATTATTCTTGTTATTATTTTATGCATGGACACTTTTTGCTTCTGTTTCCTCTCTCTATCATTCTCTTTCTTTCTATATATCCGGTGATGTGTGTTTGGCCTGGCATGTCTGTTCCTAGAAGAAAATTTCAGGTTTCTTATCATCCTTTGATTTTCAGATTGGGGACCTAAAGTGGATGTGGTAGGATTTTGCTTCCTTGATCTTGCATCAAATTATGAACCTCCTCAGCAACTTGTGGACTGGCTTAAAGCTGGCCCAAAGCCTATTTATATTGGATTTGGAAGCCTTGTAAGTGTCCTCCTTAGTAGTCTTTGGTTTTATGTTTTTTTCCAAGTCTAGTATTTCCTTTTCCCTACTTTCTATTCAAGCAGTTGATTCTGTGTCTGATGACTGTTGTTCTCTAGAATTTTTTAGTTTGCAAGAGGAAGAACATGTTCAAATGTGCTGCAGATGTTGTTAAAGGATCAGGAAAATAATTTCGATCCACATCCCATCTTGTTCAAGTTGCCTTGTTTGTAGGCTTATAGCCTTATAAATTGTATTCAGAAAATAGTTCTATTTTGATTGGCTTAAGTCAAGTCTGAGCAAACTACAGTTACTATCAGTTTGTCCTTTTCTTTTCATTTTTTTTTTCTTTTCTTTACCTCGTCGATAGCACACACAATCAATGTGTTATAACAATTCTTAGGACATCTAATGAATGCATTGTGTTGCCGCTATGCCTAGGTCATCTGATGAACAACTTATCATTTGTGGGGACTGTCATGTCTAATGGAACACTTAGTTGTTTTCACTTCTAATTTCTTCTATTTCTGTCCTTCTTATGGACTATATTAATTTTTGTTTATTTAATAATTAAAATCAAACTTTTGGTAATTGTTAGAACACTGCTAAAGAGCAACTTAAAACAATTTCTGGCAAATAGAAAGGCCCTTCCTTGGTTTTTAAAGTGATGATTTGTATACTTGTTAAGATTGATGGTTCCTTTTGGTTTTTCAGTCATTTGCTTGATAAAGTTGAGTTCAATTCTGTTTTTGCACCCTAGTCTTTCCTTTCTGTTTGTTTGATTTCCCTCTTTTATAGTATGTTCTAAATTTTTGTCATTTTATGTATTTAAGCCTGTCCAAGAGCCCCAGAAAATGACACAAATAATTGTACAAGCACTAGAAATGACTGGGCAAAGGGGAATTATTAACAAAGGCTGGGGCGGGCTTGGCAACTGTAAGTTTCTCTTTTCATTTTTGACCTTGTTTGCTTCCTGGGATACTCCCTCTGTCCATTAGGTTAACTTTCTATTTTTCTTTTCTGAAAGTCCTTGCTTTCTGCAATACCCCCACCCCCGGTCCCATGAAGTCAACTATCTGGCTTTGTTTTTTGGAAGTCACATCCATCTTTCAAGTTTTGGGTTCAAAAGGGTCAATCATTAATTTCACATAAGTTTGTCTTTTAACGTTGGTTTAACAAAACCTTTGTTCAAGTAAGCGTTTCATTTTCATTATTATATTAGTCAAAGACACGTAATTGTTTTCTGTGGACTGCAGCCCATTTTTCACCAATGGCTTGACATTTGTTTGCTGTGATAATTGTTTTCCCAGTGGCAGAACCAAAGGACTTTGTATACTTGCTGGACAATTGCCCTCATGATTGGCTTTTCTTACAATGTGCAGCTGTGGTGAGGCTTTGCTATTGAGTTTTTATGATTTAAATTATTAAGGATCACCTAAGTTCTTTTCTTATCACGAAGTTAAGATTCTCCTTATTGTACTGTGTTGGTCATGACGGTAGGATGTTTCAACCCCTCTCCACTTCCCCACCCCCACCCTGCCTCTCTGGTCAAGTGAGACTTCTTGATTGATCTTGTTTAAGGGAAAATGATAAGTGAACAGCCCAATTACATGGAATACCAATTCTTGATCATTTGGTAGTGATATTTTGGTATTATCAGTTTGTTTAAAGTAGTGCATTAGCAGAATCTTGCTTTCCTGAAAATGCTAGCTAGTTCTTATTCTGCTTGACTTTGCTTTCAGGTGCATCACGGGGGAGCAGGAACAACAGCTGCGGGTCTTAAAGCTGCGGTAATGGAGTTAGGACAGACTTTTCTCTGAAATATATAATTCTCTTGGCCTTATTTTTTACCCCATGCTTTTGTTGCAATGTAGTGCCCAACGACCATTGTGCCTTTCTTTGGTGACCAACCCTTTTGGGGAGAGCGTGTGCATGCCAGGGGAGTAGGTCCTCCGCCGATACCAGTCGAAGAGTTTTCACTTCCCAAACTGGTTGATGCAATTCAATTCATGTTAGATTCTAAGGTAACCTCTGATTTTCAGAATGGTTGAATTTTCCTATCATAATATGTTGCTACTTTTGGAAGTGCTTGCTGTGCTTCCTGTAGGTCTACTTCCCACTTCAGAAGAAGAGGCAGAATTAATAGTTATTGTGAAAGGGCATAAAATGGTACAAGTGTTACAATATCTAGAATATTCTGAAATCTGTAAACTTGGATAGAAATGCTGGAAAACTGTTTGGATTTGTTTTTGAATACTGTTTTCTGTTTTTGAAAATGAAAAATCCTTTTAGCAATTGTTTTTGGTAACTGTTTCTGGGAGAATTTTCATAAAATGTGCACCTTTTTAGAAAACAATGAAAAGTTGTTTTCAGAATTTTGGAAATAATTTTCACTTAAAAACTGAAAATAATAATAACATGAATAATTTGGTTTTTTTTCTTTTTGTAATCTCTCTTAAGGGCTCTAAATTGACCAACAATGCAGGTGAAGGAGCGTGCAGTGGAGCTTGCCAAGGCTATGGAAAATGAAGATGGGGTAGCTGGAGCCGTGAATGCTTTCTTTAAGCAACTTCCTCGCAGGAAGCCTGAGCAGAGCCAGCACCTCAACCAGCCAATCTTTTCTCAATACGTAAATGTTTCGGTTGCTCCTAAGTCTTGAGTGGATAATTATTACATTTATTTAGATTGATTAGTTTCTACATTCTGACTGTGTAATCCTGGTGTACTACATGAGGTTTACAATAGCGGTTTCTCTTAGCTGGCCTGTAGCTCCCTTTGTTTATATAGCCTAGTTCCAAAAATGCCATTCTTGGCATTAGAGTTGTATTGATCATTATTTTACACTGCTCGTTGGAGGAAGGGAAATGGCTTTTTTGGTTTCTTATTTTCATATTTCTAAATTTTATTGTCATTTTTCTATTTGATCCTCCCAAATTGAGATAAACTTTCACCCCCCATCTTATCTTTGTGTTTATTGTGTTCCAGGGCAATGTGATCCTCTCTGGTAATGAGGTAGGATCCGCACAGGTACAATAAAGTATGGTTTCATCATATCGTGAGAGAGAATGGCATTGCCCTTTAGATCAGTATCAAATAATTCCTTAGGTTTTATTGAATTTATTGTTATGAAATTTCTAGCTAATTATTTGTGATTAAATTTACTGTTATGAAATTTCTAGCGACCTGGTTGATGTTGGATGGTCAACCTCGTCGAAGTGGCCTTTTCCGAGGCAGTGGCTTGGTTTGTCATTTCTGTTATTAATGTTCTGTTTCTGGGAAGTTCTGGAATTATTATTTTTGAAAGAAAGGATGGGTTCAATTGAGAATGTGACGTCTGGGCAGCTATGTGCTCTCTGGCTATGGTAATTTCTCTTCATTTTCTTTCTTATGTTTCCTCGCAGCGCAAACAGCATTGAAGAGCACCCTCTTTAAATATTAGAAGTGAGAATCACTATTTCAAGGTTATGATGATATGTTTCCTCTTTATGTGAGGTCACATGGTATTTTAAAATAACTAGTTTTAAAAATATTAGCAGTTTCCTCCCTTCTCCCTCCGGTTCATATTCTTGTGTTTTTGAGATCGAGGCAGGTGAGGCCTAAAGGATAAAATATGGTTTTTCTTTTTTCCTTTTTTGCCTCTTGTTCTTTCTACATAGACTACATGGTACGGATAAAAAGCATTTATTATATGTACTTATTTCCTTCTCCCCAGTCGGCTTCGTCCTTAGTGGAAGAAATGCTGAAGCCTGGTGGAATACAGATTCAATCAGAAGGAAGCAACAGAGGGATGAGCGTGGGGGCCTTGACCCTCTCCTTGGATTTGTAATTGGAGAATTCTAGCCTGGAAGTTGCTGCCCTCCACGTCACGGTTCAGTCACCGTTTGTCAGACTTGAGCCCTTTACCAAATCGGCCCTTTTCTCCCGAGGGAAAAAAAAGAGTTGGATGCGTGAAGGGGGCCCAAGCCCAAGACCAGCTGTCGCCAAATCGCGGCCGTCCGAGTACATTCGCTGGCAGCTTATGACTGCGACGCGGAGAACCGACAACGCAAATGCGTGGTATGGGGTCGACTGAGGGGCGTTGTGACTTGTCTTGGGTGCTCTCTGTTTATGTGAAAGAAAAGAGAGTGTACATAGAGCGCTGAGTACCAGAAGACGGGCTTTGTATTGAATGGGAGGAGGGAAGGTCCACCGCCCACAGCCGCATAGTGGATGAAAGTGAAGTGTTTATCGAGAGAGAGAGAGAGAGAGAGAGAGAGAGAGAGAGATGCAACGAATGGGTAAGTAACGTGACAAGAAGTTGCCAGGGGATACGGCGGTGGAGATGTTAGATACGCAGAGAATACAGAGGGAGGACTAGTGGCTGTAACCCTATCACTATTTATTTATGAAGCCAGAGACCAATGCACTTATATATCATAATATATATGCACAGAGAGAGAGAGAGAGAGAGAAGATGAATGGCTGAATGCAACCGCCACTCTGACCAAGTGGGGGGACTGTCTTTGTAGCTTATTTGTCACACAATCCACATTGGCCTTTGCAGATTATGGATTCCACTCTCTTATTCATTCAATTCTTTATAAATTTCCGTATAATTGTGATAATATTCTTATAGATTTCTTCATATGTTTATGCGTATCAGTTATCGGAGACTCGGGAAACGTCCAAATTTTCTCAACATCAAGCCTGCCTTCTTGGCTTGCTGGAACTGTGTAACTTCCTTTTAAGCAAGCAGTGGGAAATAGATTGTTTATTGGCTAAGGGAATGTCTAAGCACAAACCTCAATTGGCGAAATAGAACAAACCAACTGATCAAACTGAAACAAAAAGAGTAAAAAATAAAGCCCTGCAAAGGAACCCCAAGTGCCCATGAAATGAAACCGATAAACTGTCTGAAACATATATAGATATATATATAGAGAGAGAGAGAGAGAGAGATTCCAATTTCCAATCCATACATACATCTCCGATCTCTGCCCGCCAATCAGTCTCTTTGCGTCAGCATGCAGAAACGTATGTGAACATACTCTCTCTCTCTCTTATCTCTTCTGTTCCCAAGCCCATACACCCTTCTGGCCACAGCACTCTTTTTAATAAATTATAATTTATAACTCAGACTCTTCCCCCCTTCACGTTTTCCAACTCCGGAGAACTTAACCTAGTCTCTGAACACCCCCCCTCCCCCCGTCCCCCCCATCTCTTCCTCTCTTATCTATCTCATCAGATAAATATCGAAAGCGAAACTTCAAAGTCTCTGTAATATTTGCATCTCAGCAGCACTCTGTTCCCTCGGTCCCCCTTTTGAAAGTTTTTTTTCTCTTTTAAGCCTCAAACTCAAACCCATCTTTTTCCTCAGCAATATTTTAATACCCATCTAAAAAATCATCAATTTTTATTTTTTTTGGCGGGTTTTTAACTTTATCTTGCTTTTGCTTCAGAAAATGGAACGTGAAAGAAAAGTAGTTCCAGATTCTGCAACAAACAATGCAGAGGACGCTTCGGCAAGATCATTCCCCTGCCTGTTCTGTTCGAGAAAGTTCCACAGCTCTCAAGCCTTGGGAGGCCACCAAAACGCCCACAAGAAAGAGAGAACTGCCGCCAGAAAGGCCAAGAGAGCCCACGACTTCGCCATGAGCAGCTTCTCTCCCCCGGCGGCTCCACCACTGGTCTTCGCCCCTGGCCACCACCTCCTCAGCCCCTCCCTCTGCATCACCGCCCACGCCGCCACCCTCGGCCAGATTTCCGGCCACCACCATCAACTCTCCGACGGGTTCGGGTCGACCGGGGAGGCCCGGTTCGACAACGTGGTTGTGTGCAGAGGAAACTATCTGAATAACTCTTATGGCCATGACGATCCTCAGAACTTGGTGACGTGGCAAAGGAGTGCGAGGTACAGTGAGGCCACCGGAGGGAATTCTCACTACACGTCGGCACTGGAGAGGAGCCATGAGGTACTTGAGCGCGATCACAGGGACAAGAGTCAGAAACTGGATCTCTCTCTTCATTTATAAGGGAAGAGGGCGAAGAGGTGGTTTGATCGTGGCCAAGGAGTTTAGCAGGAATATGCTCTGTTATATTTTTGGTTTTGTCTTCTTCAACCCCACCCCCCCCCCCCCCCCTCGGCGGGCGGGAATAAGAAAATATGCCATGTTCTTCACACCCTTTTGATTGGAAATAAAAAATGTGGCAGTGGTGGTAGTAGTTATAACTTTCTCCTCTGATTTTGTTAAGGGCCTGTTCGGCAAAATTTATGAGTTAACTTTTTTCAATGATAAGGGTTCGTTTTAACTATAACCAGAGTACAGAAAAATTTTCAAATGTTTTTCTTTATTTAGAAAAATAATATTAAATTCATATAAATTAAATGTAAAAAAGAAAGATAAATCTTTACAAAACCCAGCAAATAAAGAGATTATTTTTTCTGTGCGCAGGATAGGATGCGTTGTTCTGTTTTGTTCCAATTGCTAAATGCTGAGTCTATTTGATATTAAAAACTGATTGAGTGAAGAAAAATATTATAATTAAAAATATGCCTAGTATGTTATCACATACTATATATATATATATAGTGATCATTGTACCTGTTAAATTAATATCTGATGTCAAATATACTCTAAATTAACCCCGCGGGGTTTTAAGGGTTGATTTTGTTCATGTCCGACGTGAATTGATGCTAAGAGGAAAAGTAAATACGTCCTCGTGGAGGAGTAACACAAATTTGCCAGCATCGGAATACAGGCCATGTTGAGCCTACATGTCTCGTCTCGTCTCTGCATCTCAATCCACGAATGGGCAGACCGACTTACTATCCCAAAAGTTTCCACTACCACTCCCAGGCCCAAAACAATTGGGCTAATTTTGAGCCCAGTAAATTCTTCCCATACGTGGGTCCGGTGCAAGATGTTCCGAGCGCGCTTCTTCTCATTTCTATTTGCTTAGGCTCGTGGTGCTAGTTTGGTAGCTTCGCTGCGTCTTCAAGGAGAGGAAAGTTTGCTTAAACAGCACTTATATGACATCCAGAAAAGCCTCAAATAGGCATTTGTCTATTCCATTTTCCCTTCAATTAGTTTTATTCAAAAAGTTACTTGTACGACAATACCACACAAGAAATAAGAATGAGGCCCCTATAAATTTTAATTTTTAAAAGTGCACCTCTTACAAATATATAAAAGAAATCTTACCCCGAAAAGTATTAAATTTGTATCACTTATCTCCTTCAATTAATATTTAATAAAATATTTAATAAAAAAATTAAATAATATTAATTATTTTTACATATAATTATTAATTAATCTTCTCCCCCCTACAATTACGATCACCATTCATCATCGAGTCATTGTGTCTGATCTTCCATTGCGTGGATAATAACGCTCCTGTGGGTTGAGCTAGGGCCCAAAAGAATAAATATTTAATCTTCCGTCACCCCCCTAAACTTTATTTTATTCTCGTTTTTTATCCGATTAACTTTGTGAGATTCACGTTGTTGGGTTCTTTTACTTCTCCACACGACAAGAAAAAAACACACGGACACCGTTGAAGTTAGTTTGGCAGTAAAACGGCACATTCATTATGTAATTTTTGTCTACAGTTTCTATTTGACTTTTAAAAAAATGAATTAAATGTTTTCTTTTTGTGACTTACAAAAGAAAAGGTTTGTGAGCAATTAATTTAAAAAATATAGCTCTTTAATTATGAATCTATACATATATTTTAAAGTTGATATTTTTGTTGACATTTATCAGCTTACAAAACTATTATTTGTCAATTTTAATAATTATCACATATATTTTTGTCTGAATATGAAGTTATATTTATTATTACTTCTGTAAACATAATTTTTCTAACCAATTTTATATTTTTAAATTATGAAAGCGATTCAATTTTCTTTTTTTTTTTGAAATTTGGAGGAAAAACTTAAAAATTGTCTTGTGTAGAGCATGTGAGACACATTAATTATCTCTAAAACTTTGTGGTATGGAAATTATTATTTTTTAAAATTTATAACTTGTTAAAAATAAATAATGATTGTTGATAATATGCTTCACCCTCGATTAATTAATAAAAGAGTATATTATATAAATCAAAACCCAAAATTTTTGGAGAAACTAAAAAAGCATGTCCATGACCTAGGGCATTAATCTATCTTATCTAGAGATTACAATAAATCATAAAAATTACTTATGTTTGGATAAAACAATGTAGCTGAGGGGATTAACTTTTGTCTTTTTGAGATAGCTTTTGTAGCGTTGGACGAATCGGATACACATACAAAAAAAAATGCTTATCTTAATAATAATGAGTCAAACACGGCGGATTTAGCTTTTGGCCAGTGGTCCGTCCAAGAGAGAATTGGTAATCAATTTTAGCTTTTTAGAACCAATGAGATAAAGAAGATTCCTCCTCACATGCTGTCTTGACGTGGGAGATGATTAACATGCACTCTATTCAAAAGAAAAGAGGGCTTTTCCATTCAACTTTTCTCGCCTGTGTATTTAATTTTTGAATTTAAAAAATATAAAAATTCCTATAAATTAAGATTTTCTAAATTTTTTAGGCTGTTTGTTTTTGGATTTTTTTAAAATATAGGAGAAATTAGGTTTTGTTTTCTTTTTTTTTGGACGGCTAGGGATTTTGTCTGAAAATAATTAATTATAAAAATGTGAGAGCTAATTACTTATAGTTTTAGAAAAACTATTTCAAAAGCTGGCTTTTTGAGGAACCAAAAAATTTGAAAAATTTTGATTTTTGACTTTTTTTGCTTTAGTTTAAAAGCATAAAAAAATCTAAATACCCAACATCTTTATTGTATTTAAATATCTAAAACTGAGAAATGAAGAGAACAAGAGATGGCATGGCTTAGTTTCATAATTAGAGCCTCAAACCTTGCATGAAACCTGCTACTTGGCAATCTAACTATCCAAAAATAATGTTATATATATATATATATATATAGATAGAGAGAGAGAGAGAGAGAGAGAGAGAGTACAACTGGCAAATCGTGCTATGAACATGGCTGTGGTGGTAGGAAGAGACGGAACAACAGGAAGACACACCCGTGCATAGGGTTGGGTCATTGATGGAAAGCTTTCGTGGTTGTGAACAAGCAAACTCCGACGCAGGGTACAACTCAATAATGCCTCCATTCTAATGGGATGTCTCAGCCGAAGTACTAGCCTTTTTGGATGGACCATTTAATTTACAACATCTTCATGTGGGTTCATTATAGGGTTTCAGATTTCTTGCCACATAGCTTCTCTCTTCACAAGAATCACAACACGTTGAGGATTAAGGCTGCATCTCTTGGTGGCCCATGAAGTTATGATGCATGTCTGGCAAATTTGGAAAGCATGCAATAACAATCAAGAAACAAAACGAAGCAGAAGTTCAATTACTTACTTGTCTCTCAAGCAACAACTTTTAGGGCATACCAAAGTTTTTCTAAGTTACTATAACGGGGCATTGTTGGTAATTTGATTTTTAAATTTAAAAATTATAAATAATAACAAAGTTTAACTAAAATTTTTGGATACACCAAAATGAATATACCAAGTTCACTCTATAAAAATTGACGTTTATATTTTGAGGGGAGTCAAAATAATGTAAATTTTATCTTTACATTTTGTAACTTGAAAATTTAATTACCATTTAAAAACAGTATTTCAATATTTTTTCTTCTATTGTAAAATTTCATTTGACCTCCCGAACTTTGAATTTATTTTAATTTATCTGTAAATTTCTGATTTTTCCAATAAATTCTTCAATTTGCACCAAACTAACAAATTGGGGAGGCCATTATATATGTTACTAAGGCACAAAATTTTTCCCGACTACCACGCTCCAACAAAGCTCTGGCATTGATTACAAAATTCTAATTTTAAAGGTTTGTGACTTGCAAAATTTTAATTTTAGACGTTTTTAAACAGAAAAAAGAATCTGGGTAACGGGCATAATCATAATGAAGGTGATTAAATTAGGCGAAAAAAACCTCATTGATGACATAAAACCATGAGATCAGCTTGGTTTGTGCCAAGTTGAAGTTTTAAAGTGACAGACAAGAAGATAATTGATCGAAAGAGGTACAAAAATTTCAGTTCAAGATAGACTCATCTTCATGGCATCATCGCTCATCATCCATACGTTGGCTTGTTTTCATAGCAATGGCGAGTGGAACCATGTGGTTGGGGATGTTGGGCCCTCTGTTCTGTTTGTCCAAAGGTAACGTGACAAAAGCAGCCGGTCACTTTCGCATCCCTCCAGTAGTTGGCTGGACGAGAGGGTAGGGAGAGGAAGAGATGAAGGGTGCTGAGACATGAAAGCAAACTGGCAGTTTAATTAACTAACATCTGATGTTACAGACCCAAATTTTGAATAATTAGGCGGAATTTGGTTCAGATTGAAGAAACCTGAACAAGTTGATTTGATGGAAGGTTTGAATGCAACTTTTACGGCAAAAATCATTTTTTAGAACCAAATTTCACAGAAATTCAGAATTTTTTGAAAAAATTTAATACCCAAAAGTTTTAATACCAAACAGACCGCAAGAATATTCGCGACCAACCAAATTTAAGACTTCTGAAAGAACAAAACTAGAACACACTGTTCTGGGATTCTTTTTCCATTTAAGTTTTTTGAAATACTTTTGCCACAGACCTGCTCTGTTTTTCCCCTGTTTTTCTTCATTGTAGCAGGATTAAGACATTATGTAAAGGAAAATATGGACCAAAATTCAGGATAATTCAGTAGACGAATATTCATAATGTCACCCCTGTTTGAATTTGTTCTTGAAAATACTTTCCTGTTTTCGGCAACAAAAATCTCGTTTAATAAGTCATAATTCGGAAACTAATTTTGGGAGTATTTTCGAAAATCACACTTATTTTGAGAAAACAACAGACAATTATTTTTGAAATTCTCATAAATTCGAAAATGAAAACTGTATGAAACTAATACAGAGATCGTGATTTTCTATGTTTTCCATTTTTACAAGGACCAAAAAAAATAAATCCAAACA